CTTGCCCTTTGGGATAAAGTTTATACATGAATAAATAAAAGTTGATCATTGTTAGCATCTTTGCCAGTGATTAATGGTTTGTCTCAACCCCTTAACTGCTGCATCTGCAGGACACTTTGTTCTGTTGAAAAACAACAGACTTATTGATCAGATCACCAGGTGAAAATAACCGAAAGACAGCCTAAAAAAGAAAATGAATGCAGCTATCACATCTAAGAATAGGTAAACTGCAATATAATAAATGTTTGCTTTTGGGTTTAATGCCGCTTTAAGAGGTAGAATATTGTCTTAAAATCAGGCACCATTGAAACTACTTAATATGTTGAATTATGGGGAATAGGGGGACCTATACAAAAACAGCTGTTTGGAAATTTGTAGTTGCATAGTTATAACCGGCAATTCAAATTACACCATGTATTGGAATTTATCTTCTAAAACATGTGTCTTGTCATGTACCATATATTGCCTATAACTAGCAACTAAATGTTTTTAGTGCCTAATACAAGTTCATGTTAAACCATCTCAATACCAGCATGTTACATATCCTTCCTTTCCAGGCTACTGTTTCATTGATTTACTGTAGTTGCCAGTGTTGTCATAATTAACAACTACTTGGTTATGCAACACTGTTGCAACAAATACACTATGTAACAAATACATTTTTGACACAGGTAGAACTTTCTTTTGGAACATTTTAACCAGCTGAGTACCAGCTTGTAATACCCCTTCAATACCAGGCCATTTTTCAGTTCTCTCTGCAATAGTTTGACTGACGGTTACTCACGCATTCAACACTACTCAAATTAATGTTATATCATTTTTGAAACAGGTTGAGTTTTCTTTTGGGGGGTTTTTATAACCACTTTGTTTTTTACTTTTTAATATCAAATGAAAAAAAAGGAAATAACACTGTTCTCTTATTTTCTGTTATAAAACAGATACAAATTGGAAAGTAGAAATTCCAAGGAGTCATTTTTTGCTACGATTTTTTGGAAGTGAAGAAACATACTCGAGGAGGTTAAAACATGGATATTGCTGATGGTGTACAGGTGATATACAATGGTAGGATGGAAATGAATGAGTTAATAAGCAGATGTGCAGGATAAGGGAGGTGAGGGATTTATATACAGGTCACATACAAAGACAGACTGAAGATCAGATGTGTAGGAGGTGAAAGGGTTAAAAAAAACAGTCAGTGGGAACATATGAATATATTCACAGTTTTTGCAATATTCATTAATTTCCAACTCTCAAATGACTATGATTCCTCTCCTTCTACTGTTGCAAGAGAGGAGGAATAATACAGGTAAACACTAGCATGTGATCTCTGCTATTGATCACCACAGTGTTCACAAGGTACGGAGCCACTCAGATTGACCCGGTACACTGTCTCTTTGTACAGAGCCATCTAGTGACAGCTTGGTATACAGCACTTGTATGTACAATGTCCATCTGATGGTTATCTGTAAAAGACACTGGGTAAATAACCGTCCACCAATCCACCATTTAAAGACATAGCATAATAGAAAAGCAGTTAATAAACACATCATATCTTAACCTCCCTGACGGTATTCCCGAGTGTAGCTCGGGGTAAAGTTTCAGTACCAAAAGCAGTAACCCCGAGCTACACTCAGGCTTACCATGCAGAGTTGCACAGGGATTCCCTGCAGAGCTTACCTTGTCCTTTGCTCCCGCGATGCGTCCCCGGCCATCTCCTCCGGCCGATGCCGGCATCCGGCTTCCGTGTTCCGGTCCCTGTGAGCGTCGGGACATATGGGGGCCGAAATCGGCAGCAAATTTAAAAATGTTCAAAACTGTAATTTTCTAGTAAACGTAAATCACATAGTATAACATCACTGTTTCAAACCATTTCACATACATTTTGTCCCTAGTGCTTTGTTCTGTGCTCTGCCTGCATTTTAACTGTTCTTTCTGCCTGGAAACTGAGAAAAGTCCATGGCATCCAAAAAGTGTCTCATTAGGTCAAAAGTGGTTTTAGATTAGCTAGAGAACAGCGATAGTAAACCAGAACCACTTGCAGAATTGAGTCATAATGATTTGTGGGGAAATTCATCATCAGACACTGAAAACGATTTTGCGACTTTGCTCAGCGATGTGCGAACTTGGCGCTATATTTAAAATGTCAGTGTTTTTGTTTTGATTATATTATTGAATTAAATTTATTATTATTATATTATTATTTTTTATGATTATTTATTAAATTATAATTTATGATTTTGTGTTTCAAGTTTTATCGTACCCGGGATGTTTACTAGACTCTTGTTCGGACAGATTTCAGTGAGTTATATCTAAGAATTACAGGCCTACAATAAAAAAACAAACATATTTCCATGCAAAAAAATGTACTGCTTTCAGCACAGAAATATGGACATAATCAGACCGCTAGGGAGGTTATAATATCACATAAAAATGCCAAGACATTACAAATTTCTTCAAAACTACCATTTTTTTGGAAAGTAGATGCCCCAAGGTGATCTTAACTTTGGACACAATTTTTGAAAATGGAGAAACATGCTGGTATTATGGTGGTTGAAGTGCGCTTAGACTTTAAAGGTTGCTCACTAAAGTCAAATGCATATCTCCAATTATTATTAAGAGAATGTTCCCTCAAATACAAAACTGAATTGCACTCAAATTTCATTGTGTGCAGTGGCTAGATGTCATGGATAAATCCAGAGGCCTTTTAAACCCTAAAAAAAAGCAACATTCATTGGTTGTTAGAAACATTTTAAAACCCTCCACCACCCATTATTGCTGGTCAGTGGCACTGTTACCCCTCCCCCTCAAGGCAATTCCACAAAATTGGTGGTCCAATGCATTCTATCCCCCTAAAAAAAATCCCATAACATTGAGCAGTAAGTGGCTTTTTAATACCCCCTCCCCGATACACACATACACCTTGGATGAATCCTTCCTCTGCTGCAGTTCCTATCCCTTGTACCAATTATTCTTTTTCTGCTGTAGAAAGGGGAGGGCTGTAAGGTGTATAGAAAACCTTCAGCACAATGAAACTTCCTAAAACAATTCTGCAGCTAGTGTATAATGTGTTCCCACACGTAACAAAGTAAATGAAATGAAGAAATGCAGCGCAACAATATATAAATAAATACAATGGTGCTTACAATCTAATAAATGTGTGTATAAATAGTGAAAACAACATATTGTGCTTATGAAGATCAATATATGCTATTCAAGATGTCTTCCAATGCATACATATAAACACCCATAGAAACTGCACATAATCAGTGCTATTAATAAATAGTGCACACAAATACAAAAAAAAAAATCCTAAATTGTGATCTGTCCCTTTAAATCCTAAATACCATCACGTGGACCTGTGTGGTACACTTCCTGTGTATCATGATCCAAATGCACCAACAAAAAGTGTCAACTGAATAAAGTCTCAATAGTGGTGGACCGTCCCTTTAAATCCGCTGTACTTCAAGTGGACCACTACTGCATAAATGTGTATGGTGCTCCTGTGTCACCCCTTGGTGCTCCTCCACCTCCAACACTCTATTGCACTCACCTCCAAGTTTGACCCATAATGGCAGGTCAAACTGCGATTTTCCCTTTAACCCAGGACGGTATAATGGTACGCAGATCTTCACCACCGTTTACCAGCACTTTTAAGCAGATTCAAATTGCTCCATATTATAGTGTTTCTGCCAAGTGTATACATAAATCCCTCTTCCAAAATGGGGGCACGTGCACTTCCGGTTAAGGGCCTGACGTCATCGGTGTACCCTACGCGTTACGTCACATCATGTGACTTCATCAGGAGTACTGCTAATCAGTAAACAAAAGAACATTTTAAAACATCTAGTCAGAATAACTTATCCCCCCAATGGTCAGTAGACTGGTAGCTAACCTATATTCACAAATCTTCCTTTAGAATCTGTACATTTTGTTTGTTTATACCTGCGTTCTTCTATAACAAATGGTATAGACATAGGCCTAATACTATTCCTTCTGTACAATGTCTATTTTTAAGTAACTCCTTAATAATAATGAATCATAAGCACCATTATATGGTGTGCAGATTGATAGAAAAAATAACCATTTTTGAGTATATTTAGGAACCAGTTGAACTTGCCCCACCAGTTTATACAGAGCTGTGGCTGGTCACACAAACCTTGTCATATCAATCCTGCTCACAGTCATAGACTGACTTGAAATCAGTTATGGAAATAGTTTGTTCTGTAGTCTAAATATGAAATTGACATTTTTTTTTTAAATGAGCACCTCTGCCACATTTGTTGAACATTTAGGTATTCCATACATGCAAACCGCATGGTTCCAGAGGTTCTTATATATGTCTCAATATAAAATGGCTTTTTTTTATTGTGTGCAATAAGAAAAAAAAAATCTTTAAAGAATGTTGTAATTGTATCTGCTGCTGCTGACTAATGTAACACAATGAACAAACAGGGCATATCATGGTGAAAGGGGAAGGTGCTTATACCTCGCAGTTCAACGCTTTGCTTTGTATAAGTCAGAAGACAACATGCCTTTTGCTGCAACAATTTTAAACTTGCCTTGAATATACTCATATTTTTTTTTTAGAATGCAAGGTCTACTGTATGTATATCACCCAAGGCATACCAAAGCATAGCACTGGGAGGACTAATAAATTTGCAGTCATTTATATTAATGTCTTAGTATATAGTAAAATGATCTTTATTCTAATTTTATACTGCAGTAAACAAATGGAGATAAATAGACCTGCGGGGCAAAAGAATCGATAACTCTTAGTAGGTCATGACATATTTCACTGCGACCTGACACCTTAGGCTAAGCATATAGACCAATTAATAAGCCAAATTGGTTTATACAATTAGAGAAAGCAATAATGCTCGTGATATAGGTAACACATTTTGTGAGCTGACAGTTCTTATGTCTATGGATCACTTGGACTTCGTTGCGATTCATGATTCAGTGGTTCAAATGATTGGAAATTAACCTCTTCCTGCCAATATGATGCATATATACTGCCTTTCGGCTGGTGGGTTTTAATGCCAAGAGCAGGGGCGGACTGACCATTTGGAAACTTGGGCACTGCCCGAGGGCCCGGGGTCAGTAGGGGGCCCCATGAGATGCCCATTATACCTTTTTCATAGGCTTTTTTGAGTTTGGGCAAGGACACAGGGGCCCCATGATCCCTTATTGCCCGGGGGCCCCATGAGTTGTCAGTCTGCCCCTGATCACCATTTGCAAACTCTGTAACTTTCACATAAACCAATTAATTTGCACGTATTGGGATTTTTTTTTAGCAAAGACATGTAGCAGAATACATTTTGGGCTAAATTTATGACGAAAAGTCAAAAATATTGTTTTTTTTTCTCAAAATTATTGGTCTTTTTTTTATAGCGCAAAAAATAAAAAATGCATAGGCAATCAAATACCACCAAGAGAAAGCTCTATTTGTAGGAAAAAAGGATGTAAATTTCATTTGGGTGCAGTGTTGCATGACTGCGCAATTGTCTGTTAAAGTAACGTAGTGCCGTAACACAAAAAATGGCCTGGTAAGGAAGGGGGGTAAATCCTCTGGAGGGCAAGTGGTTAAAGTCACTTTTCAATGCATACACATTAGTATGAATAATTGACCCCCCCCCAGTAACAATTCACTGAAAAGCATAATATGCTCTCATTATGGTGTCCTTTTATCATGCAGCGGTAAATGACCACTGCTCAGTTCTCTGGCATTCTCAGAGGAGACAGTTCTCCTCTGAATGCCTTTTTATGAAGCAGTGTAGATCTGAATGAGGAGAGAAGTGATCTACAAACACTTTGAATGCTGGAAAAGGGCTCCTGTTACTGTAATCTCATGAGATTACAGTGAGAAATCAGTCAAACACCGTTTACTAAGCAGCAGTAAATTATCTCTGATTCATTTGCTGCTCCCCTGATTCTTCACCTCTGGGCTGGAGAATCTGCAGGGAGAACACAGATCGCCAGTGAAGGGCTGACATCACTCCTTCATATACTGGCCATCTGTGTGCTGAGATGATCAGCGGAAAAATGTGTTCTACACTGATCATCTCTGTTTCCTAAACCGCTAATGATCAAGATCAGCAACGATCCTCAGGATCGCCGCTGATCTCAGTTTCATAAAAGGACATCTAAGGTGTCCTTTTATGACACAGAGAATAGCTGTGATTCAGAGGATCGCAGCTATTCTCTAGTCATTCACAGTTTATAACAGTCAGGAGAACATGTTCAGCCCTTCCCTGGCGATCTGTGTTCTCCCTCCAGATTCTCCAGCCCAGAGCTGGAGAATCGGAGGGACTTCAAACTAAGCAGAGATAATTTACCTCTGCTTAGTAAACTGATCTTTTACTGTAATCTCGTGAGATTATAGTAAAATCAGCCGTTTTCCAGTGTTTGTAGACTGTTCTCCCTTCGTTTGGAGAACTGATCTACATATGCTTCATAAATGGCATTCACAGGAGAACTGTGTTCTCCGAGAATGCCGGAGAACTGAGCAGCGATCTATTACTGCTGGTTCATAAACGGACACCTTATTCCTTAAATACAGTGCTTGAATTTGAACAATTTGGTTGGTCACAAGTATTTAGTGTTTTATGCAGTTCAAGGCAGACTGTAATGTCAGTTCAGTTTTCAGTTCTGGATAGAGAATTGTAGCTTTAGACCCTTTGTCAAGTTTTTTAAATTGCTGTAGTCCTCATTGAGTAAATTCACCCTCTATATTTGTACTGGTGACTATTGTTACCAAAACAGAAAGTAAAGAGAAACATTTAATTTTAGAGTTGTCTCCATAACAAAAGACAAGGGTAAGTCTTCTAATTGGGACACCTTTAGGACAGGGGTGGGCAACTGTGGCCCTCCAACTGTTGCGGAACTACAAGTCTCACCATTCTTATGCCTCTGAGAGTCATGATTTAAACTGTCAGTCTTGCAGTGCCTCATGGGACATGACGTTCAACAGCAGCTGGAGGGCAGCAGTTGCCCACCCTGCTTTAAGAGATTTCCTTTAATTTCCTGTTTTGTCCCTGGGACAGGAAGTAAAGGGAAGTCTCCCCAATGCAGCAGAGATTGTAAAAAAAAATGACAAGGGTTGTAAACTTTTCCTACTCTACCCAAAAGTTGTTTTAGCAATACATGCACTTTAATATAAAAGACAGACACCTTCTCCTTTACTGCAAAAATAGCAATACAACTGAAATTAAAAAAATTCACGTTAATATAGTGACAGGAATCAAGGCTGGCGACACAGAAACTTTATCTCGACACTGTATGAAAAGCATTACTTAGCTGGCTAAGTGACAGTGTCCATTCTCTGCTGGGAAGCATGTGTAATAAAGACATTACTAACAGATACAAAATACCAGCGATTTTAGATGCTCGCTACAATTAAAGTCAAAATAGGCAGCTCTGTGTAATTAATTGCCAGGAGGTTAAGAAAGATGTTGACTAGAAGTCTTCACAGCTAAACTGGTAATACAGAACGTATGGAAAGAGGTCCAAGCTGCTCCGTCCAAATTGGAATGTAAAAGAAATGTGTTGGAAGGTGATGACAGAAATGAAGTAAAACAGTTGTTTCCTGATCCGAGTGCCAGATGTGTCACATACTGTGATAAATAAGATCTGTGTCTTGCACTCCACATATTGGGGAATATTGCAAGCGTTTATTATAATGAGGTACTAGAATTGCTTTGTTTCTGCTGGCACCAAGCAGGGAGCTGTTATTGCACAATGCCTGGAGCTGCTAATTCTTTTGTTTAGGTTCAGGCCAAGATGGTCTATTAAAAGCTTAAGTTCTGTTTTATTGTTCAGGTATTTATTAACTGATTATGAAAAGACATTAAAAAACTCATAATTAAGCTACCAATTGTTCTTAACTTTAAATATTTCTTTTTTCTCAAATCCCCTTTCAAGCAATCACATCAGGCATGTTGTATGTCACTGTATTTATTTTCACATTTTCCTCCAGCAGCTGGCCTCCAAACTAAGTAACCGCAGTCCTCAAACCATAAAAATATAGCTATAACTACGGAAGTTAAGGATTTTACAGAAAAAAAAATGCGCTCTTATACTTGTCACACACGTTTTCTCTCAGCTGCTGTGCAGTTTCAGTCTGCCCGTGCTACACAGTGCTGCGTTATTTAAAATAAAAAAGAGCAGCTTAATTCTTATTTTATTACTCAGCCACAACTGTCTTGAACGATTATAGAACATTCAGCCATTAATATCACACATTCCCAGGCAGGTATAATATGGCTTAGATTTACTAAGGGGTGCTAGGGCTTAGTTGTGCAAGCATACACTTAAATGTAGCCAGGAAGGAGATCCGCTTATTTGCAAAACCGTTTAGGTGTCTCTGCTTGCACAGGTATAGGAACAATCCTTTGGGAAGGCAAAAAGATACACACATGTACAGGCTTACATAAATTTAATAAGCATTATTTAGGGGAGTTAAACACATACAGGCTTATTTAATAAAACAGGGAAAGGTTTAGTCATTGCGTTGTAACTACAGTAGCCTATAGCAATTAATCACATTTCAGTTTACTGTATTCAGCTCCACTAAGAGAATAGTTCCATAAATATTTTTGAATTATGTACATTAATGTCTATATCAGGCAAGCCTGACCTACCTGGTTCTAAACTAAACCTGGAATGAAACATGGAGACTGCTATTGCTGACATAGCCTTCTTAATTTGCAACTTACCTGGCTGTCATACTGAGCCTCTTCAACACAGACCCTAAAGAAATAGGAAGACAAGGACTATCTGTGACTTTTTGGATCTAAGCCTTGGTTTTGAATTCAGTAATACACATATTTGATCAGAATCACAGGCAGTGTTCTAGCATTTTTGTAAGCACAGAAGGGTCAGTCCCCATAGTTCTCTCATGCCGAGTTTACATTTAAACACACATGACTTCAGTAAATGCATATGCATAGAGTATGTGTGTGCATACAGTATATACACATATGAAATGTGTGCATGTAACGGACCCCAGACACCCACGACTGGGTATCTCCATCAAGAAGCTACTTCTCAGGCTCTGGAATATGAGACCAGTGAATCTGGCTATTGATACCCCAAGCTCCAGACGACACCAGATTTGAAGTAAACCAGAGGTAGACTACTTTAACACAGATAGAAGATATATATACTCAGGGGACAATCCCCCCACTCCCTGCATAATGACACAGGGTGGGACATCTACATTTAGTAACAAAGAGACACACAGGTATTCAAACTTCACACCAGCAGACAGTCCCATCAGGAGGGAGGGCTGCTGGAGACACCCCCCACTAAGCTAATATGCATAAACACATGCATCCCATAATAATTTGCTCCCAAGCCAGACAAACAATAGAACAATGGGATGCAGCCGCATAACATTAAACAATCAACAACCCCCACCCCACCTATCTCCTAAACATGTCTACACAGTCTGAGACAAAGCCCACACAATATTAGGACAGATCACCCTGTACCCCTAACAGGCACAGGGTGATTTTTACACATAAGAGGGATATGGGAGGCTGAGACAGGAGTCTCCCCACCTCTCCAAAGTGAGCTGGGTTCCATGGGCACCCACCCAAAGTCACTCCTGTCACAATGCACTCTAAGTATTATATCTTAGTTCAGCCTCTTACATCTCTTCCTAGTATACAACTGGCAAGGAGCTCCTTTAAGCCAACTGGCAGACTATTTATTTCTGAACACACAGATCGTTGTTCAGAAATAGAACACAAGAAGAGAGTATAGATACTCAATGGCTACTGCTGCAACCTGCACTTATGCCTGCATCTAGCAACAGGGAAGGGATGGACTTTGATTGGCAGCTGTGACCTATAAAGGAGGATCTGTCCACTGTTTGAACATATGAAAATGTGCAAGAATCCATACAGAGTGTGAGGTACCTGGGGAAGAAGAGGGGGTAGTGCCCCTTGGGTTGCCAAAATTGTAAGCCAGGAGGCCAAGCACAGGGCTCAGAGAGAGGGAGACAGTCTAATATTGCAGTATCCGATTCTGTGCAGAGCAGGGAAATGCACACGGTCTGCTGCAGGAAAGACTGTCTTCTGTGAGAGGACCACGTGCTGCATGTTCAAAACTGTTTCAGTGGTCCAGAATGATCCATAGAGACCATGGTTGAGAACCTGTGAGAGACTGTGGCTGAGATCATTGAAGGATCTTCTGCAAAGAGGACTGTCTGTTTCTGAGACC